TGAGAAAAGAGTATAAAGTGTGTAGTGAAGGGTTTTACAGCCTTAGAACATCGATAATTATTGTAAAAAATCACGGATTTCGCCTAGAGCTGCTTATTTTTAAAACAGAACTCGAGCGAATAACGAGGGAGCACTGTATAGTGTGTGTGTGTGTGGGGGGGGGCTCACAGAATTTAACATTTATGCACACACACTATAATCTACTGTTTTACACCACATAATAGGGCTGTAACGATACACGATATAAAATCGAAATCGCGACACTCAGATCTACGATCCTGTGTCGCGGTGTAATAAGGAAGAATCGCGACACACCCAACCCGTGATACCTTTCCAATAACGTCACGCGTGCCTGCAAAAGTTGAGCTAATTAACACTTTTTTTCGTTCGACATTACAAGCACTGCTCCGTTTAAGCCCTCGCAATATTTAGCCGGGAGAGCTCGCACGGAGCTCTTAGTAAGGGACTGTCTGAATGTGTCAAGAATATCAAAAACAACTTAACCCCGCTTGACAACCGACAACGCCAGAAACATTGCCAATGCTGTCAAAGCGGCCGGATTTTCAGCGCATATACGATGATTTGCTCACACTGTTAATGTGGCTGCGCAGAGAGGGATGGGCGTTCACCAGATGTTAGGTAACAGCCAAACTTTTCTGTAACCGTGCAGTGCGCTTTCTGTTTGAACCTTTGGGAGTGCTGACTGACAGGTGCGTGAGGTCAGAAAACACGACGAAGCTTTCAGTTAAAATAAACACAGTTTCTATAGTTATAGCCTACTTTATTTAGAGATAAAGGTATATGGCTCTGCATATAATCACTCTATCTTGCTGGAGTTTATAGCCGTTTCACTTTACTTCAGGACGCATTAACACCGCTCTGAAGGTCTAATCGTTGTTTTAAGTTATCCAGAGCTGTATGAATATACAAATCTTGAATATCACAATAGTATTAAATATTACAATTGTAACAAGACAGACAGCAACACTTTTGCACAATCGATACCCAGCTGATTCTGTCGTTTCATAAGAGGACCGCGCCTCTTCTCTTCTTTTTTCCTTGTCAACATAAAGGCAGTAAGGTGCGCCTTGTTTTCGGCCACTTGTTTAACTGCAAGGCATACTTAATTTGCGGGACGATAACGTATAACCCGTGCCTACAGACACATTTGCTAAAGAAGCAAAATGGAAGAAGAATATTGCTGTTTGATACAGACCTGTTGATACTAAATCAGCGCTTATGTTGACCTGGATCTGCGTAATAAACGCAACAAATAGGCTTTACTTTTTATTTTACAGCTTAAAGCATGTACGCAGATTAATGCAATATCATATTTAAACAAACTGTTTACAAAAAGTCAACATATGCGCGCGTGTTGTTGTCTTTTCATCAGGCAGCGCGCACTTGAACCGCGAGGGAGAGAGAGGAAACCATAGGCTATATCAGGACATAATCTTTAAAATAAGGATTTCTATTAAAATGTAAAAGGTTTTGTGATTATAATAATAACAGCGGGGCATTAAATAAATGCATATTTTCCGTGGAGCAAGCAATTTGAGGAAGTCTGCGATTTTTATTTGACGGAAGAAATAAATATATGATTGGAAAAAAAGCCTATGCCGGTTATCAAAAAGAATCAGTCAGTATTTTCGTTTTGTAAAATAAATTAATTATTTAAGTGAAAATAATTTAGGGCAGTCCTATTTATTTCATTCAGTTTATTTAGATTATTCTGCTCTTCTGTGCTAAACACTACAGGTGCGTGAAGATGCTCTGTTGTTCTGTTCCGCTATTAATATATAAAAATAAATCAGTATTTTAAAATGCAATATTTAATGTGTCAGACACAAAATAGACACGTCAATTTGTTTGATATAAAATTAATAGTAATCTGACCAGTTAACCGTTAATAACCGATTAATGAGCGGCGGTTGTCAGTTAGCAAAATTAACGAAATGAGCATCCCTAGCTATTTAATTTACTTTTTCTATGCAAGAGAACTTGATTGAAAAATAATTTTCAACATGCTTGAACCATCTAAACAATGGAGTTTAGTTTGGTTTTTCAACAGTATTTTGTTACAAAGAAAACAGAAGTGATATAGCTTTGCCTATTTATTTATTTTATATATGGCTATTTATATTGTTAATAATTTGCATAGTTAATATTGTTCTTTGATGTTTAGTTTATAAAGATTTTTCAAATGTTATTTAATTAAAAATAGTTTTAAAAATCTTTTTTTTCCCACCCCACACGAAAAAAATAAAATAAAAAATCGTGATACGAATCGAATCGTGGGTCAAAAATCATGATACGAACCGAATCGTGGGTTTGGTGTATCGTTACAGCCCTACCACATAACTGCACATGCACAGGCCTATCTAAAGGGTTAATGGTGCCAACTGATGAACAACAGTAAATGACACATCTGACCTCTTCCCAACAGGGAAAACCACCAATAATCAAAAATGCATGATTATATGCTGTCATGGTTTTGCAATCAAAGAATGTCATTATAATGCAAGTCAATGGGGCAAAAACAGCCCCCAACATAACCAAAGCGTAGTCAATTTGAACAGTGCACAAGTGTTAAGTTTGATGGCAATTAGGTTTAGTCTTAGACAATAACTCTGCAGCGTTAAACCATTCGAGACTCTCCACTTTCTGAAAACACAAACTGGAGTTTAAATCGCACTGATCTCGTCTTAAGTCAACCAGGGTCATGCAGATTTGATCTTACGTTTCCTCCAGCACAATACAGAAAACCACAGCAGTGAAGGAGGATGATGAAAGTGTGAGCTCAGCAGACGAGCGAGTGAGCGGATTATTAGCTGAGCGAGACCTGCTAACCCAGTTCAGGTGAGTGAATCAGGTTAAAGCTGTGGTCACACTAGAGTTTGTGTGTGCAAAATTCTGTCGTGCGGAGCTGCGAAAAGGGGCGGAATTAAACAAAATGATTGGACATTAAAAAAGGCGAGAATTGCTCCATGTTTTAAATTTCTGTCCAGAGAGGTCATGTTTTGATCCTCCATTGGTCTCACGCAGTCAAGTGATATGATTTCCCAAGTCAGAGTTTACAAAGCTTGAACTTTGCACCGCATCAAAAGATCAAAAGTTTTGAGCCACTTGTACATCCAGGAAGTGTTTAGGAAAAGCAAAACAGCAGCGAAGAAACTCGACACAGAGGAACATGAACACCTCACTGCCCACTGGCGTTTCGGAAGTGTTAATGCAGACCAACAGAGACAGCGCACAGAAGTATAAATGCACAGCTACACGCGTTGCATGCGCCGTAGGTCACGCCGGTCACTTGACGCAGAAGTATAAACCAGGCTTAAGTACGTGCGATTAAAGTTGCTGCCCCGTTTACTCTAGCTTGCAAATGTATTTAGTTGTGATTTGTTACTTGTAACCGCGTGTGCTGTATCAGGTTAACTCTGTTTTCATGTCGCGTGTAAAGGCACTTTGAAAACGCGACACGTGCCACTTTGTTTACGGACCTCCGAGGAGGAGGGTAATGTGTGTGTGTGTGTTGTGTCCTCCGAGAAGGAGGGTAATGTGTGTGTATGTGTGTTTTGTCTTCTGAGGAGGAGGGTAATGTGTGTTTGTGTTTGTGAAAAGAGCAGGTAGAGTGTGACAAGCTAGGAGATCTCACCAGTTCTTGGAGTTTTTGCTCAATAAAATAGTTAGTTGTCTGTATTTTCAAGTCCATCATCTGTATTTACATTCACCCACTGGCGGCCAAAATCCACGCCTTACACTATGAAGCGTGTTTGCACTGTGACTACTTTTATATTGTTTATTAGCTGCTGTTTATTGTTTATTTCACTCTGTCTTGCGCTAAAGGCAGTCAGTGTCGACCAAACGCAACAGACTGTCATCGCTTCAATCAGCCAAGATTAGCTTCGCGCTAAGGAGGGGTTTGGGAACAAATAAATCACTGGACGATTAATACAGGAGTCGCTGGGATAATAAGATAAAAATAAATGCAGATTATAAGACCATGAAAGTGTTTTTTGACCTTGCATGCATATTAGACTGTTGTTGGAGACCCTTACAACCAAGATATGACCCTATTTCCTGTATAATAGGGGCTCTTTAATACTCATGTCCAGGGCTTTACATTAACACCCGCCAACCCACCAAATGCAGGTAGATTTCAGCTTAATTTTAATTTTTAATGTAAATAATTTTTACATTGTAGTTTTCTTAAAGCAGGGTTCGACTCGACAATAAGGATGGCCCAATATGCGTGCGAATGTGATCTTAGAATCGAGAAACAGCACGACTGAAAACAACTGTGTTCACGCGAGACAAAGCAGGTGAATACCGTATGAGAGGATGATTACTCGCGCGCACAGGTGATGTGATGCGCGACTTTGAAGCGCGCGCGCTCCCGTTTACTTGCGCCTTTTTCCGTTCGCTTGCGTTCAGTTCTTTTTGAAAAAGACTAAACAAAAAACGATGCTCGTGTACACACAGTCCTGCTGCTTTTAAGAGCTCAAGATTAAAAAATATATATATATTTGTAAGCAACAGCAGCCGTCACTGCTTTCGTTTTAATTATTCTCAGGCACGTGATCATCCTTTTACTATCACTCGTGGTATTTTACCTGCTTTCTTTTGCTTACAGTTATTTGTGTTAATATAGTTAAATTATCATCCTTTACAATAACATTTCTTTAATATGAGATTAACCAACCATTTGTGTGTAGTAACTGCTGATCTGGGACAACACAACATCTAAATCAAGTCATTTTAGCATATCAAAGTCACATTTATTTATATAAAATATATTTTCCAAACAACAAAATTGTGGCTAGTGAAAATGGCTAGTGGCTAGTAATGTTGGTAATCTACTAGCCACAGTGGATGGTGATCAAAAAGGTTAATGTAAAGCCCTGCTCATGTCAATAACATACAAATCATGTTTACTCCATGTTGACATTAAAACTCTCATCAACACACACTCAAAAACTAAAGTTTGTGATCACACTCACATAATAGTTATCGTTGATTTGGACCATCGGTGCGTTCACACAAGCTCCGAGACACTCCACTTCTGTCAGCGTGAATAACTTATCTGCTGTGGTCTCCCCGACTTTAATACCTGACAGGAGAAATCACCTTTAAGTTACTAAATTAAACACGTATCATTGATTACTACTTTTCAAAAACTGCTTCTAGTCTAGCTGAAATAAAACAAATCAGACTTTCTCAAGAAGAAAAAATATTATAGGAAACACTGAAAAATTCCTTGATCTGTTAAACATCGTATGAAAAACATCTGAAAAGAAAAAACTTCAACTGTACATTGACACTGTAAGTGCGTTTATTAGTGTCTTGGATTACCCAATTTGTTCTGGATGGCTTCCAGGATGCTGTCGGAGTCACACAACATGCACGGTGTGGTGGTGCAGATCTGGATGTGGTATTTGCCCACCGGCTGACGGAGGAACATTGTGTAGAAAGTCGCTACTTCATAAACCCTCATAGGAGCAATGCCCAGGACCTCTGCCACCTGCAGGACAAACACACAATCACAGCAGGGAAGAGACCAAAGAGGGAGAGGGAAGTCTGGGGTTCTCTCCCTGACTACTACCCCCTGCAACCCGGCCCCGAAAAAGCCGAAAAATGAAAAACGAACAATAAAAACAATAATTTATTATAATAACAGAGTACAATAGGACATCAGGCGAGGATTTATTTGAGTAAACTAAAACTATAAACTATTTTAGTGTCTTGAAAGAAAGATTAAATCAAATAATAATAACTATAATTAAAACAAAAATTATAAAAACCAATAAAATTACAGTATAATCCTAAGCATATTGAAAATAACACAAATTGTCATGAAGTAAAATGTGATTTACAAATATTTAGATCACCAATTATTATTAAAAAAAAATTATATTAACATGATCACTATTTTACATTAATACCAATAATTTCATATGATGTAATGTTTTAGCAATGGAACATATTAAGGTAATTTAATTTAATGTACTAATTTAACTGGTTTCATTAATAGATGCAATTATGAAACATGAGTGGCTTAGATTAATATACTGCACAAAATTTTATACATTAACAACAAATGTTTCACAGAGACATGCATCAATAAAAATATATAAATATAATACCCTCTAAAATAAATAGTCAGATACTATAAAAACTGATCAAATAAATTTAATCTTTATTTTTATTTAAATAAATAAATGTTACCTGAAAATAAGCTTTTAAATCTGTTCATTGAATTTCTTAAATAAAATATATCAAATAAACAACAACAACAAAAAAACATATCGGCACAAAATCCAGTAATACAACACCCTTATGAAACTTCTGTAGACGGATTTGGATATTTGGGAATCAAAGTTACTCCACAAGTAAAAAATCTTATCTCAGCTAATTATACTCCTCTGGTAACTCAGGTAAACGAAAGTTTGAACAGATGGATGTCTCTTCCTCTCACTACTATTGGAAGGGTGAATACCATTAAAATGAATATTCTCCCTAAATTTCTATATTTGTTTCAGTCAATCCCCCTGACCCCTCCTCCTTCCTTTTTCTCAAATATGAAAAAGGCATTTATTAAATTTATTTGGAATAATAGACGCTCAAGGCTTCGCTTATCACTCCTGTATCTTCCTTATGAACGAGGCGGGCTGCGACTCCCTAATCTTTTTTGGTATTTTAAGGCAGCTCAGCTAAGATCTGCATGTTATTGGTTTGCTGGCTCACCTAGCATTCCATGGATACAGATTGAAAGAAAATGTACAGGCAATTTGAGTCTTGACACATATTTATACTCTGATTCTTTAAAGAAACTCAAACAAAATACATCTAACCCATTTGTGAGAGCCAATATTTTATCATGGCATGAGTCACAGGTTGAGCTGGGAGAAACCCCGGTACTTTCTAAATTCTCTCCCATTTGGGGTAATGCATTATTCGTACCAGGGAAATCAGACAAGGGTTTTAAGCTGTGGTTCCAGAAAGGCTTGCAAAAGATATCAGATCTTTATGAAGATAATATATTGATGTCCTTTGAAACCTTAAAGGAAAGATATAAAATTCCTCAGTCTCATTTTTTTAAGTATCTTCAGATCCGTAATTTTATAAGATCTAAAAATCATTCATATCAGTGTTCGACCCTAAGTAGTTTAGAAGAAATTGCAGTTAAAGATCCCAGTGCCAAATACAAAATTTCTACACTATATAGCAAATTTGTTAATGCTTCCAAAGAATCTACAAATCATAAAAGACTGGCTTGGATTGAAGACTTTCAAATAGATATTACAGAAAATGAATGGGAAGAGAGTTGTCTTCAAGCGCAAACATTATCAATCAATACCCGTTTTAAATTAATCCGATATAATTGGGTAATGAGAACATATATAACACCAGAAATGTTAAATAAATTTAATAGAAATATTCTGGACATTTGTGGAAAATGTTTGACTTACAAGGGCACACTGTTCCATTGTGTTTGGCAATGTGAGCACTTGCAATTCTTTTGGAAAGAAATAATTGGTGTAATCTCTAAAACTATTGGTAAAGAAATCCCTGTTTGCCCTAAAATCTGTATCCTTGGTCTTTTCCCACCTGCCTTATCGCTGAAGTCATATGAACAGAAGTTTATAAATCTGTGTCTATTACATGCGAAGCGCCTGATTGCCATTCACTGGAAAAGTACTCATGCTCCATCTTTGTCACTCTGGATTAAGGAAATGTCTTCCTGTATAGCAATGGAAAGGTTGACTTATTCAATCAAACAAAAAATGCACATATTCTACAAGATTTGGGACTTCTTCCTTCATTTTTTAAATAACAGTGGACTGACTGTTTAGTAATCCCAAACAATGTGACTGTTAAAATACACTGTGTTTGTAATGACTAACTTTAATATACTTTCACTAGAATGTATATGTTGAAATGTCAATGTTTTAATGGTATTTATTTTTTATATATTTTTAATTTTTAACAAAATTGCCCTTTTTATTTTTATCTTTAAGTTTATTTTAGTTAATCTTTATTTTCTATTTATTTGTTTTTGTATTACTTTCCTCGCAGGAGAATGCATTTTTTTTATTCTATTCCTTTCTTTTTTAATTTTTATTTTGAATGTCGGGATGGGGCGGGAGTTCTTTGATTGGTATTTGGTTACTAATACAGTAAGAATGTATCACACCTTTCTGAAACAATAAAAGTGTTAAAAAAAAAATAATTAAAAAAAACATATCGGCCGATACCGATACCAATCACTGATTACATGGTCTAATTGAAGCCTGTTATTAATCATGTTTTTATAAATGTATATTACAAATATTATATGACAATTGAATTTATCGACAAGCAACATACTAACCTAAAACATAGCAGCCTGAGCTTGGTTAGCTAATAAAAAGTTTAGGGCAGAGATGCCCAAACTAGGGCCCACGGTTTTTATTATAATTGGCTCATTATAAAATGTAATATATATTTATATTGAAGTCAGTTGAAGTCAGAATTATTAGCCCCCTTGAATTATTAGCCCCCCCGTTTATTTTTTCCCCAATTTCTGTTTAACGGAGAGAAGATTTCCTCAACACATTTCTAAACATAATAGTTTTAATAACTCATCTCTAATAACTGATTTATTTTATCTTTGCCATGATGACAGTAAATAATATTTGACTGAAATCCCAAAAATGTCACTATACAGCAATATTTCCAGGTAAGTGGTGCTTTTTAAACGTGTCTTAGTATCCTCTCACCTTGTTCATGGCAGAAATAGGAAGCCATCCATTCTGCCTCTGAGCCAAATCCAGCACAGGAATAGTAGCGGCCGCCTTGTGTCCCTCTGGGTAATTATTAATGATGGCCTCAACTCGCTGTTACAAACCAACACCAACATATCATTATCAACATACATACATACATACACATCCACATGAAGCTATTGAAATATTCATTAAAGGGCTGCACAATATATAGTTTCAGCACTGATATTGCAATGTGATCATTTACAATAATTACATGGAAAGTATATGCAATAACAGTCTGAATTATAAATGATGTGATTATAACTGATGCAAGTGTCTTTAGGAATGGCAAAGAAAGCGTTCTTGCAGGACTCCCAGAGCTCATCAAGACTCTTTGGGTTCATCTTCAGTGCCTCCTCCATCTTACCCCAGACATGCCCAATAATGTTCATTTCTGGTGACTGGGCTGGCCAAACCTGGAGCACATTGAAATTGTGCTTTCAGGAGCTTTGATGTGGAGGCTGAAGTATGAGAAGGAGCGCTATCCTGCTGGAGAATTGTCCCTCTCCTGTGGTTTGTAATGTAATGGGCAGCACAAATGTCTTGATACCTCAGGCTGTTGATGTTGCCATCCACTCTGCAGATCTCTCGCACGCCCCCATACTGAATGTAAACCCAAACCATGATTTTTCCTTCACCAAACTTGACTGATTTTAGTGTGATTCGGGTTCCAGTAGATCTTCTGCAGTATTTGTGATGATTGGGATGCAGTTCAACAAATGATTCATCTGAAAAATCCACCTTCTGCTTTTCCAAATGATCAACTAGAAGTCAACTAGATTTTTCCAATATTGTGCAGCCCTAATTCACACTATTTATATTATTAGGGAAAAGGAGCAAATTGTGCCATAGTAAAACAACAACAAACCAGCAAAAAAGGGGGTTATGAATGACCTGCCTCAAATAAGATCATGCTATGACATAAAAAAATGTATATTCACCTTCATGTTTTCAGGGGTGAACTCAAATGGGGTGTCCGGATTGTTTTCTGGTGTGTCTCTGTGCTGGAATAATGAACACAGAGGAATAACCCATCAACAACAAAAAATAAACAACTGCAAAAAAATATGAGCCCAATATTGTGTTTTTTCTTTCATTCATGCTCTGAATAATCCAACAAATTATTGATTCGTATGTAAAGTTTACTCATGGGTCAAAAAATGCTGGTATTTGAATCAAATTACATTGAAACGAAGTTGTTATTAATATTATTTCATGTTATAACTAGGCCCACCCAGAATCTGCGCACAAAGAAATACACAGATTTGTTTAGCCCATCATTTAGTCTATTTACTTATGCAAATGTGTGTAAATATATATTCATTCAGCTATTATATAAATTTTATTACTTTATATTTAATGGGTTATTATTTACATGTGTGTATTTGCTATAAATGGACCTGTTGTCTCCTGTGCATGCACTTGAGTTTTGCCGAATAGATTCAAAAAGAGCAGGTGCATATAAAGGTACAGTTTATATATCTTACTGCTCATATTAAAAGACAAAATTGTATGGATGGAAAAAAAAAAGCGTGGATGGAAAGCATCATCAATGCACATCAAATTGAATTGATTTGTCAATGACATGATAATCAAAGCTGAACCATGACACCAGTGTAATAAACCCCTAATGTTGTGGTATACAAGCTTAATTGTTACACTAAATGGCAGTTTATTTGGGGTTTTCTATGAATCTTTATAAAAATCTATGACAGTCATTATATATATTTATACAGTTGAATTGAGAATTATTAGCCCCCTGAATTATTAGCCACCGTTTATTTTTCCCCTCATTTTCTGTTTAACAGAGTGAAGATTTCTTTACCACATTTCTAAACATAATAGTTTTAATAAGTCATCTCTAATAACTGATTTATTTTATCTTTGCCATGATGACAGTGAATAATATTTTACTAGATATTTTCAAGACACTTCTATACAGCTTAAAGTGACATTTAAAGACTTAACTAGGTTAGTTAGGTTAACTAGGCAGGTTAGAGTAATTAGGCAAGCTATTTTATAACAATAGTTTGTTCTGTAGACTACCGAAAAAAATTAGCTTAAGGCTAATAATATTGTCCTTAAAATGGTGTTTAAAAAATTTAAAAATGCTTGTATTATAGCTGAAATAAAACAAATAAGACTTTCTCCAGAAGAAAAAATATTATCAGACATACTGTGAAAATTTCCTTGCTTTGTTAAACATCATTTAGGAAATATTCAAAAAAGAAAAAAATTCAAAGGTCTAATAATTCTGACTTCAACTGTATAATATATATATATATATATATATATATATATATATATATATACACACACACACACACACACACACACACACACACACACACACACACACACACACACACACACACACACACACACACACACACATATATATATATATATATACATATATTTTATTCTTCACTCATTTTCCTTTAGATTAGGCTCTAATTAATCAGGAGTCACAACAGCGGAATGACCACCAACTTCTCTAGCATATGTTTTATGCAACAGATGGCAACCCAGCACTACTAATAGACCACTATAATAGGCCTGTCACGATATTTATTTTTTGTTGTACGATATATTGCACCAAAATATATTACAATAAACAATATTATTGTCATTTTAAGACCATTTTATGCCACTCATTATATAATGCCAGAATAACAATATAATATCATCACCGATGCAAGTACTCTCTTACAATGAACACATCATATTTTATTCTTGAGAATATTAATTTAATAGGGTATATGATAAAGCATGCTAATAGGACTTTTAATTTGCCAGTAATCTGGGTTAAATCATTTCCGGTGAATTGTGTGCTGATGCAAAATCAGCGCGTTTAAGGTCTGCTTTCTTTAAAAATCAGCGATCTCCACTGGCTGAGTGATATCTCAGATCTGGAAAATAAAATAAACTGTTTGAAATCTAACTTTAGTGACTCAGTACAAGCCAACACATATCAGGGATTTAGCATCTAAATTTAATAATGTTAAAGAGGTTTAATATGTATTTATTAGATTATAAACCTTAGCATTTTGTTGGAGTGCAGTGAGTGCACTATTCTGTGCTTCTAAATGGCTGTATTTACATTTTTGTCGTGTTTTGTATGGTGCAAAGAGCCAAACTGCTCCAAATCTCGTCATGTAGATTGTTGATGACTCTCGTAATATTTATATTATTTGCTAATTAATAACCTCTTCACGTGGAAGCCTGAATTTTGGGGCCGTTACTGTCCACTGGAGGTCGCATTTCAGTCAAGAACACATGCTTTGAGAGCCTTCCTGACTGAATGAATGAATGAAAATACACTGTTTTACATCAAGGCAAGACTTTCTTAAATACCTACAAACATATTACGGTATTTTTAAGCTTTAGAAGAGTCAAAAACTTACCTACAGCACCTTTAAGAGTTGATTTGGTTCAGTTCAATAACTATTGCAGTTTTAACAATTGTGAAATACATTTAAATCAGCAATAAAACTATTTTACTGAAAAGAAAACACTGTCGTCATTCAAGTTTTGTTGGGGTAATGTTGGCTTTATATTCCCACATATGGACTTTCTCCTTAATAATAAAATTTCCGAAAAGTATACTTTGCAAACTCTAATCATAGTATCATCCAATAAATATCAAAGTACAACATTGGTTCTATTTATCTGACTGTGAACAATGTTGTTTTGACGTCATATCTACATATGATTTCAGACCGAATATTCAAGTAAAGAAATAAACGATACAGACTAGTAGTCATTGCTAAAAAATGTATGAATGTGCGAATATAAAAACAACTTTACCTCAATATAGTGTCGGTGAGGTCAAATCCCATGTGTCTCATATATTTCAATACAAAAATACTGCAAAACAGACAACACAAGTAGAGTCTCACCACAAAGATTCCTCCTGCTCCTGCTCGAGCTGATGTCTGATGCAGACTCCGCACCTGCCTCGCCTGAAGAACAATAAAATCATAACATTATATGTGACATTCTACTAGAAACTTACATTTTCACTTTTAAAAAACGTGACCGGGCCTGACTTAAGCTTGTCATCCTCACAAAATCATACAAAAACAGGCATAAAATCATATAATTCAATGATAGAATGCATCCTTGATCACTGTCAGCTTCTCCTCCATCACTTTCAAGAAACATGGGGACAATTGTAGTTTTGTTTGCATTATATATTTATTTGTAGAATTTATTTAAAATTTCATGTCTTTAATCAGGTGATGTGAAAGATAACAACTTAAATTGCTATTTGTGAAGTTTTTTTTCTTCAAAATAGCAGTTTTTAGCATAACAAAACTATTGAAGCTGTAGGTTTAGTTGGGCTGAGGACGAGGAAAATAACAGAAAAACATCTGAGAACCAAATGAATGACATGTTCCTTTACAGAACAACTCACATACATCAACTATTAGTCCATTTTAGATTATTTTGAGACGAAATCGTTTTTATTCACTGTATTTACGTTTTTATTTCAGGGACAGATAAGGTACGTTTCTGGTCGAATACCCCATATAACGTTACACATTTATTGATCGATTCAGTTTTAACGGTTACTTAACCAGACATAACTTTAAATAACATTTCGTTAAGTAAGAAACTAAAAACCTTCACTGCTTTCAAAGACTGTCTAGTTAAATATGGAATGATTAAATAATATTTTACTGACATATAAACACTATCAGGCCTGATGATTAGCTGCTAGCACATTAGCTTCATGCCCTTGCACAGATGTCAACACTGTTTAAATCGATACGTCTAATGCAGTATATCCAAATACCTCACGAATAATTCGATTGAGAGATGTCTTAAATAAACGTACCGTATATGAGACGGCAGAGCGCAGGGTTGAGGATAAAAACATCTTTTTTAACGCGCTCGGTCACACTAAACACAAGCAACGGCGGACACCAGATCGCGAGTTCGATTGAGCGGGTCTGGTTACGTATGCTGGCTGTGAACTATGAGTCTGTATAATAGAACACCGAGCGAAAGATAAAAATAACACAGACGCACATTGTGTTCTTGACATGCCAGGATAAAAATAACGGAGACAATTAGCGCGGATGCTTGTAGAAAGTCTTTGTAAATGCTGAAATCAAGTGCTATAAAATGTAAGCATGGTATTCTTTTCATATTCGAACCTAATCTGATGGATAAGTATAATAATACTAATAATAAAAATGTAAAATGAATATTATATAATATATAATAATATAATATAATTATATAATAATTAATATAATATAATATAATATAATATAATATAATATAATATAATATAATATAATATAATATAATATAATATAATAATATAATATAATATAATATAATATAACATAACATAACATAATATAACATAATATAATATAATATAATATAATATAATATAGTATAATATAATATATAATAATATAATATAATTATATAATATAATATAATATAATATAATATAACATAACATAATATAACATAATATAACATAATATAATATAATATATAATAATATAATATAATTATATAATAATTAATATAATATAATAATTAATATAATATAATATAATATAATATAACATAATATAATATAATATAATATAATATAACATAATATAATATAATATATAATAATATAATATAATTATATAATAATTAATATAATATAATAATTAATATAATATAATATAATATAATATAATATAACATAATATAATATAATATAATATAATATAATATAATATAATATAATATAATATAATATAATATAATATAATATAATATATATAGTGTAATATAATTCAGCTACTAATAAATTCAGATAAAGTATTTTTATGCATTTTTTTTTTAAATCTAGAGAAAATTCTATTATTTTGTAAGAATAGGACATTGCTGTGGGAAATAAACTGGAATGGAAGACAAAACCTGCAAAAACAATAAATAAATTAATGAATAAATAAATACCCAAATACATAAATAGGCGAGTTAATAAATCCATAAATTCCTGCATAAATAAAACTACAAATGAATAAATATATTTAAAAATAATTATTACTTTAATCAAAATTTATATAAATATAAAAATAATTCATCTGTTAATTTTTGTGTGCATGTGTGTGTTTTTATGTATGTGTGTATTTATATGTGTATGTATATGTGAGTGTAACTGTGTGTGTATATGTATGTGTGTGTGTGTGTTTGTAAATGATTATGTGTGTCTGTGTGTATATATGTGTATATTTGTGTTTACGTGTGTGTATCATATACTGTAAAATATGTATGTAATGTGTATGTATGTTTGTATCTGTGTGTATATGAGTATGTACTGTATATGAGAGTGTGTCTGTATATGAGTGTATATATGTGAGAGTGTGTCTGTGTATATGTTAATGTATCTTTGAGTGTGTGTTTGTGTGTCTGTGTGTCTGTGTGTGTGTGTGTGTGTGTGTGTGTGTGTGTGTGTGTGTGTGTGTGTGTGTGTGTGTGTGTGTGTGTGTGTGTGTGTGTGTGTGTGTGTGATCATCCGTCAGGCTCGTGCGTCCCCGCCCCCTGCAGTGGGATCAGCAGCCGAGCAGCTGCTCATCCAACCAGAAAAGAGGAGTGTAGAATGCGGCGCTCTGATTGGTGGAGGCGGAGCCGAGCAGACTGAGCAGGATTAAAAACAGGGTACCACATGCTCAGACACAATAAAGAGCTTCATCCACAGACTGACATCCATCCTAAGAATGTCTCCCGTTTCAGACTCCACCAACACGGCTCTTTCAAGCCCAAAGGAGCCCGAGGAGAAGATTTACCATCCACCCGACGGCATTTTCACTGACGCGCACGTGCCTGACTTTGACGCATATCTGGCTTTATATAAAAAGTCCATTGAAGAGCCTGAAGGTACGTCTGATAGTACTGAAGACAAACAGTTACGCAATCAACATTATATGCAATGTAGTCATGTTACTATTATATAGTAAAACAGGATGCTTTAAAAGTATAAGTCATGGTGCTGTATATCTTTATTGGTCACACTTTACAATAAGGTCTCATTAGTGAATGTATTTACTAACATGGACATTTACTGTACATTTATTAAAATTTAATTCCTTTGTTAAAGTTAGTTAATTGAAATAAAGTAATTCATTGTTAGTTCTTGTTAACCCAGTGCATTATGTGAATTCGGATGTTAATAATTTACATTTACATTTAGTCATTTAGCAGACGCTTTTATCCAAAGCGACTTACAAATGAGGACAAGGAAGCAATTTACACACTAGAACTATACTATAAGAGCAACAATGAATAAATGCTGTAGGCAAGTTTCAGGTCTGTAAAGTCTAAGAAGGAAAGTATTAGTAAATTTTATTTATTTATTTTTTTTGGGTACAGTTAGTGTGATATCCAGAGAGGCAATTGCAGATTAGGAAGTGAAGTGGAGATTAAATAGTTGAGTTTTTAGTCGTTTCATGAAGACAGCGAGTGACTCTGCCGTTCTGATGCAGTTAGGGCGTTCATTCCACCAACTGGGCAGATTGAGCGTGAGCGTTAGCGAAAGTGATTTCTTCCCTCTTTGGGATGGAAACACGACGTTCATTCACAGAACGTAAGTTTCTGGAGGGCACATAGATCTGCAGAAGTGAGAGCAGATAAGAAGAAGCAAAGCCAGAAATCGCTTTGTAAGCAAACATCAGAGCTTTGAATTTGATGCGAGCAGCAACTGGCAGCCAGTGCAAACGGATGAGCAGCGGAGTGACATGTGCTCTTTTAGGTTCATTAAAGACCACTCGTGCTGCTGCGTTCTGGAGCAGCTGAAGAGGCTTGATAGAGTTAGCTGGAGGCCCGGCTAGTAGAGAGTTGCCATAGTCCAGTTTGGAGAGAACAAGAGCTTGAACAAGGAGTTGAGCTGCATCTTCAGATAAGAAGGGTCGGATCTTTCTGATGTTATAGAGTGCGAATCTGCACTCTATAACGCATAATGCATTAGTAAATGCTGAACTATGATCAATAAATGCTGTATAGTATTGTTCATTATTAGATAGAATAAAGAAGAGCCTGAAGGTATGTTTTTTAAAAAGTAAAATTACACACCTCCCAAACAAGAAATCGATCAGGTTTTAGAGACAAGACTTTGTAAAGGTGCAGTCTCTAAAATTTCTAAAACATTTTTTTCATTTATTAGACTGTTAGATTCCTCGTCCTTTTTTAAAATAAAGCAGAGCTGGGAATCAGATCTCAATCATGTTTTCACAGACGAGAATTGGTCCAAGGCTCTCGTGTACAAACCTCTTCTATTTGTGCTCGTCATACCCTTATACAATTCAAATTATTGCATAGAGTATATTGAACTAAGGCAAAATATCTAAAATTAACACTGGTTTTGATCCAATTTGTGATCGGTGTCGACAAGCTCCAGCCACTCTTCGTCATACTTTCTGGCTGTCCAGTGCTAATAAATAAACATGTATATATGTATGTGTATGCAAGTATATAGCTGACTTATTTTCCCTGCCCCTGGCATAGTTATGAATGGAGAGTGTTTTTTTAACTAATTTTATTATAATTTTTTAAAAATATATATTATTATTTAATTTTCTACTGCTGTAATTATATTATATTATATTATATTATATTATATTATTTTATATTATATTATATTATATTATATTATATTATATAAATAGTGTAATATAACTGAGCTACTTATACATTCAGATAAAGTATTTTGTGCAATTTTTTTTTTTTATCTAGAAAAAATTCCCTTATTTTGTAAGTAAAAGACATTGCTGTGGGAAAGAAACTGGAATGGAAGACAAAACAATAAATAAATAAATAAATAAATAAATAAATAAATAAATAAATACCAAATTATAAAAAAGAGCAAGTAAATAAATCCATAAATTTCTGCAAAAATAAAGCTATAAATGAATAAATATGCAAATAAAAAAAATTTATATAAAAAAAAAATCCACAATATCCTGCATGAATAAATAAATAATAGTACGGGCAGGTAAATAAACTACTTGAATGTTGAAAGAATAAGAAAATGCTTAAACTCTGGCCACTTTTCCATGAAATCTCAGCATAGGCATCATGATGCATATCATCATGTATGCAAGTATAGAGCTGACTTATTTTCCCTGCCCCTGGCATAGTTATGAATGGAGAGTGTGTTTTTTTTTAAATTAATTTTATTATTTTTTTAAAAGTATATATTATTATTTTATTTTCTACTGCTGTACCCTTTGAGTATTTGTATTTATTTATTCTCTGTACTGTTGTTGTTTTTGTTGTTGTTTTTCCTTAATGCATGAGTATGTAATTATATTGTTTTATTCGGAGAGAAAGAAAACGTGAGCAAAATTGTATTCTACCACCACATTGGAGCAGTTGATGTCTAATGATTCTGTGCATCTGATGCTGTGGCTCTCTGACTAACATATTTCAATAAAAAGCAAAGTTAAACTAAAAAAAAAAGTAAAATTACATTTACATGAATGAAATGTTTTCAGAGCAGTGCATGTTTTTAGTGCTTTTTGGTTTTGTGATTGTTCTAAAAGATTTACATATACTTAGACGTCATTCACAAAATGGGTAAAGTTTGGTTTACATCGAGCCCACTTTTTCTTATGTACATGATATTTACCTAACAGAATAAACAACTGAAAATCAGTCTATGCAAATAGGAAAGATTAGATATACAGTTTGCGGTAATACTGAAAAATTTGACACTATCTGGCAACCCTTCCTCTTACACTTTAAAAATAAAAATAATAAATAAATAAACATGTATATATGTATGTGTATGCAAGTATATAGCTGACTTATTTTCCCTGCCCCTGGCATAGTTATGAATGGAGAGTGTTTTTATTTTTTTAAATTTTTTTTTTAAATATATATTATTTTATTTTCTACTGCTGAACCCTTTAAGTATTTGTATTTATTTATTCTCTGTACCGTTGTTGTTTTTTGTTGTTTTTCGTGAGCAAACGTGAGCAAAATTGTATTCTACCACCACATTGGAGCAGTTGATGTCTAATGATTCTGTGTATCTGATGCTGTGGCTCTCTGACTAACATATTTCAATAAAAAACAAAGTTAAACTAAATAAAAAAAGTAAAATTACATTTACATGAATGAAATGTTTTCAGAGCAGTGCATGTTTTTAGTGCTTTTTGGTTTTGTGATTGTTCTAAAGATTTACATATACTTTGACGACATTCACAAAATGGGTAAAGTTTGGTTTACATCGAGCCCACTTTTTCTTATGTACATGATATTTTCCTAACAGAATAAACAACTGAAAATGATATTGTCCTTTACAGTTCAAGTTCTCATTATCAAAATAAAACATTAACAAAACACCCCATACAAATGTTGGTGTGGGTTTCCTCTGGGTGCCCCGGGTTTCCCCCACAGTCCAAAACACATGCGCTATAGGTGAATTGATTAAGCTAAATTGGCCGTAGTGTATGAGTGTGTATGGGTGTTTCCCAGTACTGGGTTACAGCTGGAAGGGCATCCGCTGTGTAAAACATGTGCCGGATAAATTGGCGGTTCATTCCGCTGTGGCGATCCCTGAGGAATAAAGGGACTACGCTGAAGGAAAAAACATTTGTGCATGCATAGAAGTGGGATGAGCCGTTTTTACATGCACAGTGCAGTAAAGGTGTTGATTTACCATGCTTTGCAGAGTTCTGGGGTGATGTTGCTCAGGAGTTTTTCTGGAAGAAGCCTCCGTCGGGACAGATGTTGCAGTATAACTTCGACGTCACCAAGGGGAGTGTTTTCATCAAGTTCATGGACGGAGCAAAAACCAACATTTGCTACAACGTCCTCGACCGGAATGTGCATGAGAGAAACCTGGGAGACAAAGTGGCTTATTACTGGTAAACACGTTTGTACTAAGATAATAATAATGTATTTTTGGACATCACTTCTATTATGTAATGCATGCTTGATCTAATTTGATAGTAGATGCACTTCAGTCAAGAAGGTTGCTGGTTTGAGTCCCGGCTGGGCCAGTAGGCATTTCTGTGTGGAGTTTGCATGTTCTCCCCTTGTTGGTGTGGGTTTCCTCTGCGTGCTCTGGTTTCTCCCACAGTTCAAACACATGCACTATAGGAGAATTGATGAACTAAATTGGCCGTAGTGTATGAGTTGTGTGAATGCGAGAGTGTATGGGTGTTTCCCAGAACTGGATGGGAGCTAAAAAAGGCATCCACAGCATAAAACATATGCTGTTATAGTTGGCGGTTCAATACGCTGTGGCAACCTCTGATGAATAAAGGGACTAAGCCGAAGGAAAATGAATGAATGAATGAATAAACATATACATGATTTAGATTATTACATTCATTTATTTTCTTGTCAGCTTAGTCCCTTTATTTATCAGGGATCGCCACAGTGGATTGAACCGCCAACTTATCCAGCATATGTTTTACGCAGCAGATGCAACCCATCAATAGAAAACACCCATACACACTCAGTCACACACATTACACGACGGCCAGATTACCTTACCCTATAGCGCATGTCTTTGGACTGTGGGGGAAACCAGAGCACCCGGAGAAAACCCTCCCCATGTTTGCATGGGGAGAACATGCAAACTCCACACAGAAAATGCCAACTGACTCAGCCGAGGCTTGAACCACTGACCTTCTTGCTGTAAGGCGATCGTGCTACCCACTGCGCCACCATGTTCATTTAATACCATAAATGTCAATCAATCTAACACCAGCACTTTACATAATTACATATACATTTAACCTCAGCTTGTGCTTTTAGTTTGTTTTTTTTGTGTTTATTGTTAAACCCTTTTAGCGTATATACTTTGTCTTTGTTAAAAAGCAAATAAAAAACTACTAATAAAAGAAACCACTGAGAAATGTATAGCAAACTTCATTAATTACTAAATGTTACATTTAAAACTAAATTAATTACAAATTAATGTCAAGAAACTCAAAAATTTAAGATTTAAATAGCGTTTTTGTGATACATAAAATGTAATTTTGATTGATTTATTTATTTTATCCATTTATTTAACTTCAGAGTGGCTGCTTGTGTAAAAGTCAAAGAAAATGAACCATTTTTGGGGCCTCAATAACATAATTAATAATAAAATATTTTTTTTATTCACTCAAAATATATTTAGACTGTTGTGATTTTGAAGGAGAGACAAACCAGGAGAAATTTTGGATCTCTTCAAAGCAGAATCATTCATTCATTTTCTTGTCTGCTTAGTCCCTTTATTAATCCGGGGTTGCCACAGCGGAATGAACCGCCAACTTATCCAGCAAGTTTTTACGCAGCGGATGCTATTCCAGCCACAACCCATTTCTGGGAAATCACAGCAGAATCCTTTATTAAAAACTTGTTCATCGAAAAATCTCAACTACTGCAGCTGGCAGTGCACTCCGTTAAATACACAGTTTAGTGAGCGGAGCTTATTAGTAGAAACAGAAACTGTCATTACAGGTTTAGTAGAAAAATCTTGTTTTCCGGGCCTTGCCTGAAAGTATCACCCGGCCATTTGTTAGACAAAAGACACAGCCGTGCCTGGAACTGACAATATGCATTACTTTGGAGACATGATACTGTATTTCACACATAGACAGTCAGACCTGATGTGCCTAGAACTTATCATTTGCATTGCTATACTGTCTCTTACACATAGGCAGTCAAACCTGATCCATCAGAATGCATCTTACAATGTAAAAAAACATTCATTCATTCGTTTTCAACTGCTTTTCCGGGGCTGGGTCGCGGGGGCAGCAGTCTGTCCACAAAAATACCTCTCTTGCTTTCTTTGCCATCGCGTTCATTGTTCAACCGGCGTTTGTTGACTAACAATAACCAAATGCTGAGCGAGACACATGCTTGCTGTTCATACTCGAACGCACATGCCCAGAGTGTGTGAATGGTCACGTGATATACGTTTTTGGTGGCGTAGTGTGGACGGAGATATGTTCAGAAGCGCTGGGTGAAACGCTAGTGTGGATCGTTTTTGATCTAAAACGCCGTTTTAAAACTAAGACGTACTTGTGTAAACGAGGCCTGAGATGGAGCAGCAGCATTTCAGAATGAAAACGGGCTCTCCAGTGTTTCCAAAACGCTTCGTTTTTGGCGCTCGAAAACTCCGGCATAGTGTGGACGGATGGCGTTACTGTAGAAAAACGTATGCGTTTTCAAACTAAAATGCATTAGTGTAAACGGGGTCTTAGGCAAGAACCCCAGACTTCCCTCTCACCAGACACTTCCTCCAGCTCCTCTGGGGCGGGGTCCCAAGGTGTTCCCATGACAGCCGAGAGACAGTCCCTCCAGCGTGTCCTAGGTCTTCCCCGAGGCCTCCTCCCAATGGGACATGCCTGGAAGTAACACCTCCCTAGGTAGGCATCCAGGAGGCATCCAAAACAGATGCCCAAGCCACCTCAGCTGACTTCTCTTGATGTGGAGGAGCAGCGGCTCTACTCCGAGCTCTTCCCAAGTGATAGAGCTCCTCGTCCTATCTATAAGGATGTCCGAGATCTTGTCCTTTCGGTCATGGCTCAAAGCTCATGACCATAGGTGAGAGTAGGAACGTAGATTGACCGGTAAATCGAGAGTTTTGCCTTTCGGCTCAGCTCCTTCTTCACCACAACGGACCGGTACATCGACTGTATTACTGCTGCCGCTGCAATTAATAATAAATAAACAAATCACTCAGAAATGGATGGTAAATTCACAATTAATTACAAATGAATAGCTAAAAACTCACAGGTTTGGGCATGAAATCAGGTAGTAAGATTGAAATATTGTTTTTTGGTAAAACATACTCCAATAATGACAGTTTCATGAATTTATTTGAGTGCTGTTGAACGATTAATCGTGTTTAATCACATTAAAAATTAAAGTTACTATTTACAAAAATATATTAGTGATATTTTGGCCGTCACGGTGGTGCAGTGGGTAGCACAGTCGCCTCAAAGCAAGATGGTCACTGGGTCAGGTGGCATTTCTGTGGAGTTTGCATGTTCTCCCTGCATTTGCGTGGGTTTCCTCAGGGTGCTGTATTTTCCCCCACAGTCCAAGGACATGTGGTACAGGTGAATTGGGTAGGCTAAATTGGCGATAGTGTATGTGTGAGAAAATGAATGAATGAATGGCAACCAGAGGATTGGGACAGAGGAATTAATACACTTCATTGAAAATGTACACGTAGACATATATAACAGTAGGTTAACTATGCTTATATATATAATAAGTTTACCTGTTAAAAAATATTAGTTAATAGTTAATTAGTTAATGTTATTAGTAACTAGTAAACTTATGGTAACTAATTACCTTAAATGTTTGCATTTTGATTGTAATGCAGTAATGTCCACCTTTTGCAGAGCTGCTTTGGAACAATTATTGTGAAAAGCTCTTTACAAATCAGTTCAATTGAAGTTGGTTTGTATAGCGCTTTTTACAATGATTATAGTTTCAAATTAGCTTTACAAGGTGCACATTATTGCATTACAATCAAATTAAGTTAAAGTTACAATCAAATATAAGTTATTATATGCAAATGAAGTTAACCTGCAGCTTTATAGCATATAGGTGATGTCTGTATGTATTATTCCAATGACTGTTTCCAGTAAAAGCACACATATCATGTTTCAAGAGTTCACACTGAGCTGATGATTGATTGTAAAGCTTGCTTGGCATGCTGTCCCGGGACAGAGCCTTGAGCTCATAAGATCCTCGAGCTCGGGGCTCCCTCCCGTTTGCAAGGCGAGAGGGGAGTTTGAGCTCAGTTAGGTCTCGAGAACTCCCCTGCTGTAGTAACTAATGAACAGATAGTGATTGCTCTTAAGAGATAACTACTTACTAGGACCATTTCAATGGTGTTGATTAGGATTAGTTAATTAACTTAAGTTGCATGTTTTTTGACGGTGGGAGGAAACCGGAGAACCTGGAAAACCCATGTGAGCATGGGGAGAACGTGTAAACTCCGCACAGAAACGTTGACTGGCTTGGTAAGGACTAGAACCAGTGACGTTCTTGCAGTGAGGCAACAGTGCTAACCACTGGGCCACCATGCCACCCATCTAGGAAAGGAGGAGAAGTAGGGGTGGAAGGGGGGATTCTTCAAAACGAAGATGGCTGTGATATGGAACTGAGGGTATTTATAGTGGCCTAGGAATCGTCTGATTGGTGAATCATAAATTGAATAATGCGGGGCTGGCTGCAAGCAATCATTAGCACGTGATCCTCTCGAAATTAGTTTATAAATAAACTTCACTTAATGAAGTGTATTCACATAAATTGAATTGAAAAAAAAGAGTTAATGAATAAAGCATCAGAATAGAATAGGTTTGGATGGCGATGTAAAGCAGATCTGTGAACTGTGAGTTTACTGTACTGCTGTTATCTGACACCTCTTGTTCCAGCGGACTATTAATACTTCAGGTCACAGAGAACATGACAACAGTGATTGTTAAAGCACATCTCCTGCATACAGACAAGCAGAAATGTGTGCTTTTATTGGAAACAGTCATTGGGATGTTCCTGAGAATGAATGAAAAATTCTCGGGTGACTTATCATGTGTGATTCGTGCCATCTTATCTTAGTCGATGTCATACTCAGGTGATATGGTTCAATAACACTTTATAATGTGGCCATTCGTGCCCATGCCATATAAGTACATTTACTAATTTATTCCTATTATATAATTTATTCAATATTGAGTTAATATTTAATATAAATATAAATATTTATAAAAACGTAAAAAAAATGACATGATCCGAGTATGTAAGAATGATTCTTTTATTTATTTACTTTTCCCTTTATTTGCCATTTAATAAATGCAGCTAATATACAGTTGAAGTCCGAATTTTTCTCAAGTTAAGATTGAATTTTTTTATAC